CACCAAGAGAGGTCCAGTACATGCACTCATCCCTATGAACACACATACGAACGCCCTACATATATAAGCAACTTTAAGATATTGAGGACATAACATCTTGAAATTAATGCGAGCAGCAATGCTAAGTACATCACGTGAACCCTTGTGGGCCGACACCACCACCAGGAACCTACCCATCTGAGCTACGTCCATTTCATGTATAAGGGTCTTTGTAGACCTTATTATTATCTGTAGTATAGTCACAAATAAGACATCACTGGTGAAGTACCACAACATGAACCTGATGCAGCGATACATTGTTGTGCAATCCACAAACTCTTGTCCCAGCCCTATCACACTATCCTGATTGTTCCACAAACCAACACAAATCAGAAAATAAATTCTGGAGATCAGAAACTCGAGTGCCATAACAAGAAAAAATCACCCGAGCAATTTTTAGCAAATCCCTTGACCACATTTGAATTAGGACTTATCGGGTGATTAACTTTGTTTTTTTTTCTTGAGAAACACAATACAGACATAGACACTCACATGTATGCATGTACACTTATATATAACCCTATAAAGACACACATCACTGGCACTTCGGTGCATAGGTGTCAAATATGTGGTTTGATCCTTGGTGTGCTAGGGTACAACCATCCTAACCATCCAACCACGAGATGGTTCTCAACATTGGCATAATTATGCGTGGGATTACAAACTGGAAAAACATGTGTGCTCTGCCTTGGTCTAATCAAACGGCTCGCTAGCCTAATAAATCTAGATAGAGGGAAAACAACGATCCGATCCTATATCCATCTTAAAGAATATCTTTATCCATGAGGTTTCATCTTGATGATGATGATGATATAGAGCATGTGCGTTATCTCAAAAAAATCTATAGCATGTGATATTTTATCTTTAATTTCCTACTACCAAAGATTTACCATCATGGATAATTTCCTAATTAGCATCAGCCACCTTTAGAATCCAATAATCTTATTCTAAAAATTTGGGAGCCTGTCTTAAAAATCATCCTTATCCGGAATCATTTGGACGATCATGATTTGACCACGATTTTATATGGTATGTTGTTATTGCTCTAATTGAATTCCTTCCATCCATGTTATTCGGTAAACGGCTATAAATAGGAGGAACCAAGACATCCATACTACACTCGTCTCTCGCATCACAAAGCTGTTGGCCCTGTAGCACAAGTGAGTTACACAAAACCAGCTGCAAAGGCTCGATGGCGATGGCTTCCAAGATGGTCGGCGCCCTCTTGCTGGTCCTCCTGCTGGCGCTCACCCAGAGCGACGCCCAGGTGTTGCCGACTCCATGCTGCAACCTCAAATGTTGTGGGTTTGATTGCTGCGGGCCCCCGGTCACAGCCGCGGCGCCCATTTCGCCATTGTCCACTGCTCCGGAAGCAGGACGGGCCGGCCCGGTTTCGCAGCGTGTGCCACGCAAGGTTTTCCCCGGAAACTAGCGATGTTCAGATGCATGTAGCGATGCCCCCCGTGTCATACGATTCCATAGCAAGTGTGCTACCAGCACCTAGCAAGTTTCGCTGTGTGTTCCGCATTATTTTTAGCTTGTATTCCTGATTTGTTCTGTTCCATTGAAACAACAATAATATGAGTTTATATCCTGCAGTAGCATTCCAAATTCTGGAGCTATAAAGTGTCTGCAATGATAAACCATGTTGGGCACACAAATAATTCAAACATCCTTCAGAAGAACAGAACACATAATCCTCCAACTAAATCTGCCGAACATGAATCAGCTATAGCTGCTCTAGTCTGGATCAATCCCTCATCTCGGCTGCCTTCTTGTCTCCCAGAACAATATTGTTTCCTAAAAGGAGTCATACATGTTTCCTTTAGGTGGATAAAATTCATGGCCGGTTTAGCAATTGCGCCTATTAAAAATGAGATATTTTACGGTACATCATACTATTCAATAGTGTGGGTAGTATTTAGATGATCTAACGGTTAACATGGATCGGTAAAATTTAAACTCTAGGATATATTGGTAATTCTATATTAAAGATAGATATCTTTTCTCAATTTAATCCTGATTGATCTCACAAGTTAACTAATCTCATCCCATCCACACCGTCTCGTTCGTCCGCTACTCTCGATGCCACGCCGCTACTGCTCCCTTGGGCTGCCGGAGTGGCTTTGCGGGAGAATCACCATGGCGACGAGGTCATGCCGGCGTGGTTGAAACGCAAGACGCTGCCCTGTGCTCACATGCCAGGAGCATCGGGCACCTCATGTGCGGAGGCTGGTCGTCCTTGAGGTGCTCGCAGGCCAGGGGCATCGGACACCTCCTGTCGAGGTTGCTCGTTGTCCCGGAGGTGTCCGGCGTGGACTAGTTAAAGGAGCAGAGGTGTGACGAGGAGACCGGCGTTGGAGGAGAACCTAATTTACCCACGTTCCCATCTTCGATCCCACCCCTGCAGGCTGCAGAGCTCTGTCGTCGCCGCCTCTCGAGGAAGCGACAAAGGCCGTCGCGTCGTCCCATGATGAACCCGATGAAACCTGCTACGTAGCCGCTCCCGACGCCCGTTCAGCAGGTTAGCCTCGTCGGCTTCGGCCACACGAACGCCGAGCTCATGGAGTTCGCCGGCGAGATGGAGGCCCTTCTTCATCGGGCATGGGCAACGGCAGCGAGGAGGAGCTGTTTTGCATGGAAGGATTGTGCCTTATCGAGACGATGGACGTAGACGGCGGCCGAGTCAAGCTGGAGATCAAAGCTGTGCGAGGTGCCCGAGGTGTCCGGCGATATACTTGACATCGACTTCGAGCAGCGGTGCCTGCGCCGATGTTCAGTTGGAGCCTTTAACTCAATCTAAATCACGTGGCCATTAGGAGACCTGCGTGCGTGAACCTCTCTGCTTGATTGATAAATAGTTGTACCTACCTAAAATGCCCCTAACTACTCAATATACTACTAGAAATCTATCGTAGTATTTACTCATCTGGACCCTCCAATCGCATAAAACGGACGGTCTAAATAGATTTGATGTACCGTAAAAGATCTCTTAAAAATAGCTTAGGATAGGTTTTTACCTCTTCTTCTTGAAAAAAAATATGTTTGAATGTGGCCTCAGTGCTCACACAACCACAACACGTTTGAATGTGGTCAATCCTAAGGTTTCCCCTGTGAAGTTTTTGTCGAGGCGTGCATGTGAGGTTATAGATTGTTTTGTCCCTAATGTGGTTTTGCTAATGTGTTGATTTCCAATCCGGATCTACATCGGTACGGAACACAGACGAATCGTGAGCTATTGATTAAGGTTGCATACTAAATAACATTTAAAAATGTTTCATAGCTAAACAACATCATTTTCAGATTCTACACATTATTCTAACCAACTTTCATATATAACATGTCAAAATTTAAGTTACAGTTCACAATTTATGGATATTTTAAAAAAGCATTTGAATCTGCCCCCAAGATATAAAGTTATTTTCTAGATGGACTACGGGTTTGTTAAACGAAATATCAAGGAATTTTATGCAAAAAGGAAAATATTTTCTGGATTCACTTAAAACAGGACTGTGGGTTTACCATTTTCATTGCAAAAAGCTATTTTCTTTGCGGGATGATAGCCATGCATGTTTCCTTTAGATGGCCAAAAATTATGGCCGGTTTAGGAACTACGCCTACTAAAAATAGATTAGGATCGGTTTTAACCTTTTTTATTTGAAAAAATATATATGTTTTTGGTTCCTCAAATTTGTCAAAAGTATAGATCCGGTCCGTCAAAACAATGTAGAAATAAAACATATAATTAAAAAAAGTTAATCATGTATATAAGACAGGTGAAAACTATATGAAAATTGTTTTGGATGTATACTAAAAATGTACAATATATGAAAACAATAGTTATCAAAACATATATCTGAAAAAATGGTAATCATTTATTTGAAAAAATGTTAAACATATATTAAATGTTTTTGATGTGCAAAAAATGTATAATATGTACAAAAATGTAGACATGTGTTTAAAAAAAATAAAGAAACAAAGAAAACAGAAAAGGAAAGGAAAACAAGAAAATCGGAGAAAAAAGTGGAAAAAAGAAAAGGGAGACACGAAAATTTGGAAAAAAATGGAAAGGAACAAAAAAGTTAAGAAAAATGGAGAAACAAATCAGTGAAAATTGAGAAAGAAAGAAACAAAACGGTAAACCACAAAGAAAAACAGAACAATAAAGAAAACCGAGAAAGAAACAAATAAACTGAAGTAAAACAAAGAAAAAAAGTTGAAACAGTGAAAACCGATGCAAAAGCAGTGAAAAACAGCCAGAAAACAAAAGCAAAGAAAAACAGTAAGGGTGCGTTTGGAAGCCAAAGTATTTTTGTGGTTTTATAGGAATACTGTGGTTTCTGAAAAAACTTTGGTATTCAATACTTTGAGTCGTTTGGATGAAAAAAATACTGCAGTTCAACAAACCATGGTATCTCTAAAACTGTGATATTTTTGTTATATATAAAAAAGAGGCCCTGACCTCTTTTTCTAAAACTGAGAAAGCGTTGGCTGCTTGGTCTCTCTTGTGTCCAACTTCTGTCCATCAACGCATGTGATGCATAAATCGATAGCTAGCCCATCGATATATCCGGCTAGAGGCGGACGTACACGTACACGAGCTGAAAACGTCGACCTTCAGTGCATGTGTTAACTACCTCGGTCTTTGATTGATTACAGGAGATAACTCTCCTACAGATCTTAGCATTTAGGAGACCTGCTCGTGCAAGGTTGAATGCATATGGTGGCTATTAGTACAAGCTGATCCCTGAGCGTAGCTGAATATGCATGCAGCAACGTAACAGTCGATGCAAACCCAAAGAAAACTGAGAAAAACTGCCACTTGCAAAACACCTCGGCAGTTTTATCAAAACTGAGAAAAACTATGCTTTTTAGAAACTGAAGTATTTATTGCCCATGTATTGTAATACTTAGGTTTTGGAATACCATGGTTTTGAGAAAACGTTATTGCCAAACTAGGCCTAAGGAAAAAAACAGAGAAACCGGGAAAACCAGTAAAAAGAAACCAAAGCAGGAAAAAAATTGAAACAAAACAACAGCGACCAAACGAAACGGATGACTGAGAAAACAGCAGTGCCCGAACAACATACTTAGCCGACCCATACGCGTGGGCGTTGTGGGCGAGGGGAGCTACCATCTCGCTATAAGCAAGATATAGCTTCCGCGGAATTTTCTTACTAAACACTAGTATTCCTCTCGACGCCTTGCGACCCTATTCGTTGTCCAATAGGCTTTGTAAATAATTATTCTGGTTATAAAAGCATACGGGGAAATAGAGGATGCTCCATCATCTCAATAAAAGTGCTCATATGGCAGGAGCATATGCTCCCATGTGCCAAAGTGAATTTTTGAAATCTTCTTCTTCTTTTATTAAGTAGAGGGAATCTACTGTTATCACCCTTTGCATGCATGAATTCTCTTGTGGATAGAGTCGGTCGCATCATTAGACTAAAATGGGCACATGCCCAAAATATTCATAACGAAATTTGAATGGTAGAATACCAAAGTACTCCTTTCGTTTTTATTTACTCAGCATATTAGATTTGACTGAAGTCAAACTTCATAAAGTTTGACCAAGTTTATAAAAAAATAATCCCTCCGTTTTTATTTAGTCTGCATATTAGGTTTGACTGAAGTCAAACTTTGTAAAGTTTGTCCAAGTTTATGGAAAAGAATATAAACATTTACCATAACAAATCTATATGATATGAAAGTACATTCAATAATGAATCTAATGGTATTGATTTGTTATTGTATATGTTAATATTTTTGTTTATAAACTTGGTTAAAATTTACAAAGCTTGACTTTGACCAAAGCTAATACGCGGACTAAATAAAAACGGAGGGAGTATAAACTTTTACTATAACAAATCAATATGATGTGAAAGTACATTCAATAATGAATCTAATGATATTGATTTGTTATTGTATATGCTAATATTTTTTGGCTGTTTTTTTCTTACTGTTTTTCTTTGCTCGATACTATTATTGAACACTGGCATTTTATTTGTTTATAAACTTTGTCAAAGTTATTAGCTTTGGTCCGTGTATTATCTTTGTTCAACCTAGCTCGAAACTTCAATTGAACACTGGCACTTGCTTAATTTTGCCTGCTATGAAGTTAGATACTGAACTATGGCAGGATATTTGCACAGTTCTGCGGTATTGAGTCTATGAGATTCTGTAAATGGTGCGATATGGCTTCAATCTGAATGTCCCTCCGTATCCGTGAGAGTAGGGAATCTCTAGCTGGGAACACTACTGGAATCACACCTTACACCGAGTGCCAGAAAAACTCGGCAAAGGGCCTAAAGCACTCGGCAATGTCTTTGTCGAGAATTTTTCTCGGCAAAGGCCACCCGATGTACACCTCTCAGGCAAATAGGACTTTGTTGATATCCAAACGTCAGGCACTCGGTAAAGAGTTTGCCC